AACAAAAGAGCAGCGAAGAGAACCCGATGACTGACACGTTGCCTTTGAAGTGAGAAAGCATTGTAATGCTAAAGCAGGGGAATTCAGCCTCAGCTCTATGGTGCAAACACAAACAGTCCATGTTAATGTCACCTTGTCTTAGTGAGTAAATTGCATTGGGTTTTCGAGCTGTACTGAGCTGAAACAAAAGACATATTTACCAAAAACAAAAAAATTAAGAGAGAGAATAACACTAGAGGAGGAGTGTGCCATGTTTCTTTCTCCATGATCACTGAAAGTGTCCTGAAGCTAAAAGCAGAGCCATATGACAATCTGTCCCACTTATGTCAGGAAAGCTTCACCTGTCATTTCACACTAAATTTCCCCTTCATCTGTAAGTCATGCTGTCATTTCCCTGTGATTTGAGCTGAGGCAGAGGAAGATGGAGAAGACAGCAGAGTTTGTATTTGTAAAAGAAAAACAGCTCAGGTTTGAGTGAATAGACGATACATATAAGAAATTGGCCAGCTAGAAGACTCTATTTCTCTATAAGTAAGTGTTAAAAGTGGCTTTGAATGAGAGATTTCTAACCTCCCGCTGTCCAAGTGACCAGAGGAGCTGCAGAGAACTGAGACAGACACCAGCTGAGAGTACAAATGACTATATAACTGCGAACCAGGCCATCACATACTTCACATGCTCAGCGGACTTCTCCACGCATAAAAGTGAACAAAAAGCAGCCAGCAAGAGAGAGAGACAGGGAGAGAGCCTGTGTGATCCATTTCAACATGTTCGGTACGCAATTGTGCATCTTTTGAAACCCAGTCCTGTAACGGTCAAAGAACAAGAAAACGCTACAGATAATTAGAACATATTATTTCCAGGCGAGTCTACATTTCTGACAGCACAAACGGCTGTGACAACTTTAAAGACTACGAGGTAAGAGAACCTATTTTTAAAGAGCTCATGGAGGAAGGGAAGAAGGAGGGTGAGGAAACGACAAGTAAAAAAAATGGAATATATAATATATATATACATACATATCTATTCCAAGTTGAGGAAATGGAAATTCAAATTGCAGCCTCGGCGGATACAGTGTATATCTATCACATTTGGTATTAAATTTGGAGTAATGATAATGGTGACAGGGGTCGACATGAACTCTGGACCTGGCGCAGGACTGCACTGCATTATTTATAGACCACACAAGCCTAACAGCCTCTGGACCCGCAGAGAAACCTCCAGTCTTGGCACACACTGCCCTCTATTTGGCCCAAAAGGAGATTCTAGGTTCCAACCCAAGGATTACAGGACATGAAATGATTGGCAACTTAACAGTTATACTCGCTAGCTTCGCTTCCTCTGCTCTACGTGCCTCTGGAAATCAGAAAGGTTACGATAGTGAATGAAATTTAAAGGTCCAGTGTGTAACATTTAGGAAGATCTATTGGCAAAAATGGAATATAATATTCATAGGTATGTTTTCATTAGTGTATAATCACCTGAAAAAGGCTGCGAGCTGCTGTCCATGAAGTCCGCCATGTTAAACCCCCATGTGTTCCACAGTAGCCCAGAAGGGACAAACCAAACATGGGCTCTAGATAGGGGCAATGGCATTTTCAGGTGTTTCGCAACCACCATAGGTTTTCCTTCTCACTTGGAAGGGGAGGGTGAAATAAGTAAGTTTCAATATGCAGCTACACCAGTCATTACCACTAAATCCTAAACACTGGACCTTTAAACAGAAGCCTAGTGAATCAATTATCTGTTGCTGACTGTTCAGCCTGGAATCACCAAGTGGTGTACGAACAACACACCAATGTTTTAAGTCATATGACCTTTTTTTGTTGTTGTTCATATATGGAGGACGTTGAAGTGGATGGATGGGTCAAACAAACACAAGGAGACTGCTTTTTGTCTCCTATCTGAAACCAAACGGTATTCTACCTTACGCAGGGCTATGTCAGGTACAGTACCAGCTTTTCCTCAACCTAACCAAATAGTTTTGATGCTTGAACCTTACCAGAGTGCAACAGTTTTACATAGAGAAATATTAATGGGATTCATGGCAGGAATATATGCTGACTTAATCACAAACAATCACATATATCAATATTTTGCTTGGGAAAGCCCCCAAATGAAGATATTTGGACTATTGTGGCACATCAGTAAAGCATTGAATAGAAATATCTAAAGGTGGCATTAGAAATCAATAACTGTTTTCTCTCTTTTCAAAATAGATGTTGTTTTTCATTTCATTTGTCACTGTTATTTTTTAAATTAATTAAAGTGTGTTTAATTTGACAGCATTTGACACCAAACTGGTGGCCAGGCATTTTTGGCACCCCATGCCACCCATCTAAATCCGCCCCTGCTACTACTATCCCAGTATATAAATGCTTTGTTTCTTAATATCTCTTACTCATGATAATTAATACTTAATACTTAATCAATGTATCCTTATGTTTATATCATCATAAATATTTAATCAAATTTTACATATAAATACTATAATATGCATCCACTTGCTATAATTGGGGCTGCTGGAGCACAAGATAAAAACATTGTGTTATGAGAATTCAATAGGAATGGAATTTTCATATATATGTGGGTTACTGTATGGGATAGAATTAAACATACATAAAACATAATTTGCATAATATAATGTTTCATTGCAACATCAGTTGCATGACATAAATTATGCCATTGTGTGGGTTAAAATTCCTACAAATGTCGAACGTCCTGTAACTACGGTATATACAGGACAGTCTTATATCTGTCTTACACTAATTATAATCATTTTGGAATTATATCCTCTTTTGAATTATATTCATGCTCACGCTCAAACGGCAGGTAAAATGGTCCAAAATGGTTCCAAAGTCCACTTTCAGCTGTCACATTTGAGACTGATCTATTGATCTTTCCTGATAAGACTTTTAAGATATTGCAACTGTGATTCTGCCCTTTGAAAGCTGCACTCAGAAGTTGACATTTTAATGAAATCTGAAAAATGAAATGAGTTTGTAGTTATGAGCGGAATCCTAACCCTAAATTCAATCGTCTGAGGTAAGTGAATGTACTACTGAATGTACAGTACAATGGAGAGTCGTGTTTCTATGACTATAATAAAAATCTACTATATTTCTCATATTACAACTTGTAATACTTGCTCATAAAATGTTCTTTCAACTATCAGCCCTGTGCTACATTTCCCCCGGATCCGGCTGAGCTCCTAACTCAGAACAGAAAGAATCAGCAAAAAGTCTGAGGGATTGAAGAAAACTGTGACAGTGACTGCATGCACCAGTTTCATCACTCTATTCCGCGCCTGTCGCTCATAATTAACAACAGCTCCTCGTTTCTATTCACAGATTACACAGCAAGTATTTAAAGCTCTGACTTTATTCTTGCAGACAAAATGCATTTACAATTCCCTCTGATCCCTGTTTTGCCACTCTTTAAAGAGTCCATCTCTGTACACATTTTATTTAGTTTAATTAGCAAGGACCAAATAAATCACAACAGCAGTGTACTGTAAAATCAGTACACACCAGAAACAAAGACACAAAATCCATCAAAAACAGCTCATTTCAAATAAATCAGCCAATGAAATCTCCATACCTGGCTATAAGCAGGCATTAAGGAAAAAGGGACACGGTGAAAGAAAACATATATCTTAAATGAAAGGAAAGGAGATATTGCTGTCCCACAATTCCTCCATCCAGCGTTACACAAATCCCAATGCTGCTGCTCGAATTAGATTTCTACCCATCCAGCGAATTCTAATACAGAGGAGCTTGTGTTTGATAATGCATGTTTTGAGGAAAAGTGATACAGAACATCTTTTCATTACATGCTCTCATACACAGCCGGGGCTTGATTGAATTCTAGCGTGAGTGCTACAGTATTGTATTATTGTATGGTAAAGAATGTATCTCTAAAGGCACAGGAAACACAAAAATATGACCTCCAGTGTATGTATACCATTGTATTATCACTGATGCCCTTTTATTTCATTTCATGGAAGCACACAGTGTGCTAATATATTTCACATATTCCACTCACTGATATTTGCTTTAATATTTGAAGTCAATACTTGGCAGCTCAACATCAAATAGTGAAATTAAAATATTTGTGCCTTTGTGTATGTTTAGTATTAACTTTGTTCTTGGTGTTCTTGACGAATAAAAATCTGTGAATCTAATCAGGAATATGACATTAGGCAGCATGAACTGGAGAAATGTTTTATTGCAACATTTGGTGAAACTTTAAGATATTCTATTACTAATTTAAATGAGACTTCAGAGAAGTAGTTCCCAACTTCAGGGTTCACAGCAGTGTCTTAGGTTGGTATACCGTGCCTCCTAGTTTTGGTTTTGGACTGAAATATCTGGTAAAGCCATGAAGTTTGGTTCGGATATTCATGGTCTTGAGATGATGAATCGTAATTCTCAGCACGTCATAGTTACGACGGGTTCACACATGTACAAAGAATTGATTATAATTAAGGAGGTCTGTGGTAAATCCTCCTGCACAGATATAAGGTTACAATATAATACACCACAACAAAAAAACTAACCTCAGATGTTCAACAAAAAGCCTGTGTGCCTGTGTGAAGGGCATTATGGGAAATGTAGGATCCAGTGTTTTTGGAGCTTGACCTTTACTGAGAACTGAAAGTCAGGATATCTCAGCCACTGCTGCTATGATTTGTACCTCTTTTTTTTTCAATATGTCTATTGTTCCCCCCCCCACACACACACACACACACTTTTTCAAAGCAAAATAATACATCACAAGAGTACCCCTGAGATCATAAGCCAGAAAGGTCGGGAAGAGTTTAGGCTAAGATATAAGTGAGAGCACAACATTTTTTCTTCCACCTGTTGATCTTTTAAATCCTGCTGCACACAGTCTCTTTCTGCCATCTTCTGTCAGACAGACAGACACACACACACACACACACACACACACACACACACACACACACACACACACACACAGGTGCAGTCCCCTCTCACCTGTAAATCTTGTATCTGGTAGAAAATCCCTGCTGGAACCTCTCTCTGAACTCCGTGTACTCAGGACATCTGTGGAAAGGTCCCTTCTCTGACAGGAGCCAGTCCAGCTGCCCTCCGCTCTGCCTCGCGCTGAAGCCCCACGGCGATGTGCCGGACGGGGACGAAGAGGAGGAGGAGGACGAGGAGGACGATGAGGAGGACGAGGGGGATGACAGGGAACCATGGAGCACCTTCCCGCCGTGTGCCCCACCGCCCACTTGTTCAGCTCGGGTGGGCCACGGCAGCCACAGCAACACCCACGGCAACCATAGGAACATCAAGGAGGACGCCGACCATCTAGCAAGGCAGGAGGAGCCATGGGAGCACCTCTCTCTTCTCATCGGCCAATGAGTCGCCATGGTCCCGGTGGTGATGTACTAGGGCACCTAGGACCGGCATTTCTTCTGACAGTCACCTCCCACTGGCCTGAACAAGACACAGAAACATTTTGCTTTAATTTTATGATTAAATCATGAAACATGTTTCTTTGTATAAAATAATTTCTCCTCATTCATAGTTTTGCTGTCACTGATGGACACTTATGTCCACATATTGCGATTATAGTCCGCAATTATGAAGGCAGCATAATATCCCCCAAAGTGGTATTTATCAAGTTAACGTCAATCATAGCAGTATGATTGTTTTCATGTCTGCTCGGAATGTGCACATGAAAGGTATTCTCCTCATGTCAGAGACACACATAATTATTGTTATTAAGCCATGAACATTAATTAAATGCACAAATGAAAAGACATTTTGTTGCTGTAAATGATGTGGGCACTGCTTCTTGATAAAATTTAATTTTAGGCCCCAGTTACATTTGTAATTTCATGTGGCTCATATCTGTTTTGGATGTCATACACCACACTTAGCCACATATATGTATGTTAGCCAGATCACAGATCTAATGCATCTGTCTTCCCAAGCTACATGCAAATCAGGGTCAGCACTACTTCAGTCCAGGAGGTTGTGGTTATACATCTGAAGCCGCTCAGTAACTGCCAAAAACCCAGAAGAACAGTAACTAGTGCACTTTGGCAGTTGAATTACAACAATAACAGTTTAGCTGTAGCCAAAGCAGCTTGTATATGCATCAACTATGACAAACTTTGTATTTATGAACTACAAGTGAGACATGTTTTAGCGTCTTTGTAGGCTCACACTCACCCGCTCATACTCATTCAATTTTTGCACACTGATCTGAGATCAGATGAATGCTGAATTACTGACCAACTCGATATCATTCCAAAGCATGTAATACACATGCAAAATGTGACACTAACATGGTGTCCTCTTCACCATTAATGCCCAGAGACTGGGTTCCGACCAACATGTGGGTTGGTCTCTTGGTGGGAGAATTGCAGAATTTCTTTTTCTTATTTATACAGCATTTAAAATGTCTACATTATTTTGCTGTTCATAAAGTTGTGGATTATCAGACGTATATCTCTTAAAAATGGCCGGTTTACCTGTTCAAGAAAATATGACGTGATTAAGAAATAGCAGTGAAATGGTCAGATTGGTGTGATACTGCAGCCAAGTTACCCATTATAAATATGCAATGTTAGACTGTCAAAATAAAGCTTGCTGAGAAACATTTCAGGTGACAGTCACAGCGTGTGTTTGACATTGTCTGAAGTTCATATGAGAAAACGGCTTCAGTGTATTGCTGGTTAATAGGAATATAATATGCTAGTCCAAGAAGAGGAAATAATCAACTCTTACATTTCAGGGCTGAATTACCATTCAGGCAGAGTAGGGAACTGCCCCAGGGGCTCAAAGCCCTCCCGGTTGCACTTTGAGGCAATTACTTTGTAATTCATTAATTACAAATGTGTTTATTAAAATGCACTAATAAAGCACAACTTAAAACTGAAGTCATTTCTTCTGAAGGACCTGGCATCAAAATAAATGTTTTATGCATTTGATATTTCTGTTGCTTTTATGCCCACACACTGTATATTCTTACACACATTCTTGTTTGTGTTTTAAACTTGTAGGTTGAAGTTATGCCAAATGCACAGCAAACATGGGGCGAAGCAGTATTCCAGAGTAGAATTAAAGTAAAAATACGATACATGTTTGCCCCAGCACCCCATAAGCAAGTTGATCCCGTTCCGCCATCAGAACGTAACACTTTCAGTGGATTTCTGTGCTGTAATTTACCTTTAAGCCTCACTCACTGTCTCTCAAACTGCTTGATCTACTTCAGCTAGTGATCTACATTTTCCCACAATGCCTTTACGCAACCTCAATGACAATGAGAATGAACTAAATCCACTTAGCTGTGACAGAAGTCAACTTCGTGTTCAATTTGCCGCTTTCAATAACATGTAAATAAAGGAAAAGCACACAAATGAGTGTTACCGTGTCACTACAGGCCACTGCTATTAGTCCGTCAGTCACTCATTAAAATCTGCCAGGTGGACTGTCAGGTTGTCCAAACATGTGCTTGCATGCAAATAAGTTTTCTCATCGGTGTAATCGCTTGTTTTTATGTAAATCAAGGTCACATGAAATTCTTCCAACTTCATGGTTCAGCAGCGGAATGAGACAACATTCACCTTGATGCCACAGAACGACGGAGCTGAATCTGTTCAAGCTCTAATGTGAACTTTAGGTGCAAAAAGGCTGTTCATTACAGAGAATACATTTAAATGCAAATTTCTAGATAATATGTTACTATATTTTTAATTTAAGTCTCACATGTGTGCTACTACCAGTGCATTTAGACATTTATCTATACACATATTATACAGAGCTGAACAATAAAATTGACCTGGAAGTGGTGCACTGCAATAGCTTTTTTTATAATGGTGCTAAAGTAATTTTATCAAAATTTAAATAACTTCACTAAAAAGCGTAACTAAAACTGTCTGATTGAAACTGAATGGTTGAAATTAATTTGGAGGAGCACTTGTAGCACAACTAATAAATATATAGCATCTAAATATATTCTTTAAGTCCATATAACATAACCTACTTAATTTGGGTCAGCTTTGTTGATTTATTAGTTGGTTCAATTCCCAATCATTGAGTTACTGTAGTGCAAGAGTTTTGTTTTTAACTAACCTTATACCATTATATTGAACTTGTTGACATAATAAATTGAATTAATGTCAATGTTTCAACTTTTTGAGCGTAAGTGTTAAGTGTACAAAGTGGCAGCAACATATCTGACTGCCTTCAGTTTTCTGATGCATGGTGTGTTTGGACAAGGATGTCATCACCCGCCTCCATACAGATCTGTGGTGTTAGCAGCACACACCAAACACATCAGCACCAATCACATTACTGCTCAAGTGTGAATTCTCATCGTCTAACAGCAATCTCAAGCTTGTGTAGACACACACTGTATTAAGGTGACACTTTGAAAAGACTTTACAGCGCCCTTCAGCAAAGTAGAGGCTTGCTCTTCATTCCACTGTTAATGACTAGCAGGCTTGCTGGGTGGAGCCTTCTGGGACAAATCAGCATTTCAAGAACGGATATGTAAAGTAGTGGAGAAGATGCTTTAAGTGGATTGGGATCCAAAGTATTCCCTGTTTATCTTACAAACAAATTAGAGAATTAATTTCAGGTGGATAAATGCAGGCTCAGACATGAAAAAACAATACTCAGGGCGCTGCATTTTTAATTTTCGCTCGCTGCATCGAGAGATTACGGCAGTTTGAAAAGGCAATTAGCAAAGTCATCTGTCAAATGATTGTATTTATGCAACTAAAAGCAGGATGAGAACGTGATGAATGGAATGGTATGCTGATGCTGTTTCTTGTACTGTATGGCCCAAAGGTAAAGCTGGTGCAAATTAAAAAGTGTGCAGCCTGGTGGAGATTTCCCAAATCATATTCTATGGAATAAGACAGCTATATATTCCAGGCCTATAAGTGCCTGTTTACTAAGTATGAAAAAGCCTGCATCTCTCCATGTCTGTACAGAGTGTTACATTAAAAGTTAACATTAACTAAAAGACTTTTATTCAGGCTACTTTTATGACGATTAGATAAGGTTCCCGCCTCTGATTGCACCAGTCCAATCAGGCAACATTGTCAACCAATCAGAGCATTGTAAGCGGGTTTAAGAATTTTTTGACTTCTTTTGTAGCTTGCTAGCTACTACATCCATAAAGCACTGCGACAGAACAATGAGGACAAGTGTGGGAGGGATATTTAAGTCAACTTATTGAAATAACTATAATAATAACTTAAATCAGCATATTTCTTTGAACGTTTCCTGCTACTAGCAGCTGCTACAGCAGCTTTTGTATCAACTGAAATTGACATTGGTAGGACAGAATCTTAGCTTAGGGCACATAGGCCCCCCCTCCCAACAAGAAATCAGCTAGCATGAGTATGTTATCAGGCTGAATGCATAAAATGAAATCAATTGTCTGACTGAGTCGATAAAATGTTTGATATGATCTCTATCTCATTAGGCGCAGTGGTACTTGGCAAAGCTTCACCTTATTTATGATGGCTGAAATCATCTGTCAGATACTCTTTGAGTCATCAGATTGACTATTTTAAATTCCCTCCTGGATCATGTTCTGCAGAACAATGCTGCATCTACCGTAAGCTACAAAACAGAGCAGAGCTGTGCAATCCATCCTAACCAGCAAGACACAAAACATGTTTTTGCACTCTGATCATATTAAAGCACAACATACATTTCTACAGTGATGTGATTTGTTTTCAGGTAGTATGAAAACATTTATGTAATAACTGAAATGAGACTAAATATCCTGTGAAAAGGACGGTAATAATAAAACAAGACTCAAAAAGTGCTTTTTACAGAATAAAGGGAAGAAAATGGGTGTGAGACGAACAATGGAAGGGTTAGAAATAAAAAAAGATGGATCATTGCAACCGAGGACAAGTCACCAGTGATATGGAGACATGGGGAGAGGAAAGGAATGACAGGATGGACAAATGAGAGATGCTAAAATCTATAGGAGTGGAAATGAAAAGAAGGAGGAATGCTTGGAGCAATGGCCTTGAGTATATACAGTATACATTCTCTCCTTTCTATGTTATGTTATTTCTCTTTCTGCCATATTGTCCTACTCTATCTCAACCTTTTTGTTTCTTTCCTCTTTCCTCCACCTTTTATTCTCCTTTTTCCTCTGACTAGAAACCCCAAACACTCAATCCCACCAGTTTAAACTAAATTAACTTAAACGGGAAATTGGAAATTTTGACTTTTGGTATCAATTCATAGGTTTTTCTTTCCTCCTTTTATCGAGAGAGAGAGTTTATATGTGTATGTGTGTAAGGCAGCTCATACATGTTGGAAGTGTTATTGTTTCAGAGAAGAATTCCTGGGTATCCACTCCAAGGGGCTGTGAAATTTGCCTTTCAAATGAAGTCCTGCAACTTCTTAAAACGCCACCTCTCGCAGAAATAAGCGATCCCAGTAACTGCCAGGCC